TCAAAGTTTGATGCAAAAACGCATGATCGCACCGGCTCGCCTGGTGCGTTCCAGCCTGGGTCTTTTCATTGTCTACGCGGTTCATGCAATCCCCGCTGATCAAGCAAATGACAGCAAAGTAATAACACTGCGAACAAATTTTACTAAAAAATAATCTTTAAAAAATCATTCTAATTAACCACTGTTTCATCATTTTGCACATTTCCAACCTCGTTCGCAGCAATCACGGTCTGCGTTGCAAATGGGACTGGTTCCTACGAACGAAGTTAAATAACACTCAATTTTCTGTACACTTTTTCTTTCCCCTTTTAGAAAAGTGTTTTCCACTCGTACACCCTTCTGGACCACTCGTACGCCACTCGTACACCCTTCTGCTCAACAACTATAGATTCTCCTATGTTTCCTGACAATGGTTATAACTCAAAGAAGGAAGTGCCTTGAGAATTAATTGTAACGGAAACTTCAAGAAGAACCACATGAAAAAAAAATAACTGCTAGTAACAAACAAATGTAACCTAAAATCCTGAATATTCGGCATAATGCAACTGTACGGGACGAGAATTTCTTTCCTCTGCCCCAGTGTTCCCGAAGTTGTGATCAAATAACAGAGCTCATCCGACTGATATACATCTAAACAGTGATATCCTCTGTGTTGGAAAAATATTTGCAATCCGTGAATAAGCAGCGCAGAATCCTCGTTTATTTCTTTGGTTGTCGAAATGAGGCACGATATTCTGGCACTGCGACTGTCCTTCGTGGTATTCTCGGAGCAACAAAAAAACACGTTCTTTGCTTCCAGAACCCTGGAAAAAGTCAATAACCCAAAAGGGCGGCTACAAATTCATCGGTACCGCTATCAAATTAACGGCTCCTGTTTGTCCTCATAATCTCAGAGCTTATACTTTGGCACAAAGTTCAGCATTTCTGTGCATGAACTTTTTTTTACCTCGCCATATACTATGAATCTTAATTCAATCTAGATTCTGTGCTTTTCCGGTTTTGCTTTTTAAATGTTTTTTATAGCGTCTTTCAACACAACTAGAACACCGCTTGTCTGCCATCCTCGCTCTATGTTATTGTCCTTATTTTGCCAGCCGGCCCTGATACTTCGACCAACTGCTGCTTTTTGTTCCACTAATGTGTGCCTAGGTAAAATGAGCACTGTAATCTGCGCTGGCACTAAGAAAGGCTTTATTGTGAAATTTTTAGATGACATAGAAAATAAACACATTGAGCAGTTATCTACAGTGAAACATCCTAGGTTTTCTGCTATCTGTTCGCTTTAACATGGACTAAAATGACCGAACAAGCGATACGCTGCAGAAAACCCATGAAAAGCTGGCAACGAAGCCGCCGTAAAAGAAAAAAAAAAATATATATATATATATACACATACATACATACATACATACATACATACATACATACATACATACATACATACATACAT